AAAAATTATGTAAATTTTAAAGTTTTATTTTTAATTATTTAATTGAATTATATTTAAATTTAATTAAAAATTATTTTATTAATAATAACTTTTAAAAATTTTTATATAAATAATTATTTTTAAACTTTAATTAAGTTTTAAACTTTAACTTTAATATACGCACGTTTTTATTATTTATATCATTTTTTAAAATTTTAAATATTATAAATTACTATTATAATTTCTTTATATTTTTAACATATAATAATAATAACGTTTTTTTAAATAATATTAATTTTTTTTAAAATAATTATATAACTTTTTAAATTAACAATAATTTATTTAAATAAATTATTTTAAACTTTATTATAATTAATTATAAAATTTTAAAATTAACCATACAATTAATTTAAATTTAAATTTAAATATAATATATAAACTTAATTAATTAAATTAAATAATACATTAAAAAGTTTTTTTTTTATTATTATATAAATTATATATTTTATCGTTTATAAAAAAATCTTTTTTATAACTTATAACCGTTACTTTAACTTTTTTTTTTATTATAATTAACGTTAATTTAATTAATAAATAAATTATTATATAAAATATATTTTAAATATTAAAATTAACATAAAACCACGCTTTACGCCATTTAACATACATATAAAATTATATATATTAATCGGCAAAATTTTATCAACTATTAAACTTAATAATTATTAAAATAACCATATTAAAAATTATTAAAAACAACATTTTAATCGTTTAAAATATAAATAAAATAAATAAATAAATAAATAAATAAATAAATAAATAAATAAATAAATAAATAAAAAAATAAATAAATATATAATAAATAAATAATTAATCCGTAAATTTATAATTTAAAATAATATATAATAATTACTTTAAACATAAACCGGGATTTATAACTATTAATCAAATAATATAAATTAAAAATAAGTTTTAAAATAAAGGTTTAAATTGATTTAAAAAAACAGTTATTTACCGTGTATATATATGGCCTTTTATATAAGGTAAAAAAACTTACATTAAAATTAACCACTTTAATAATTAATTAAAAGTTATTTATAACGTTGGTTAAAAACCTCGTTAATGCGATATATTATTTTTTAATTATGGTAAAAATTTAATAAAACGTTTTTAAAAGTTATATTACCGATAAATATAAAGTTTTTAAAAACGATAAATTTTTATTTAAAAATTTTAAAATAATAAATAAAAAAAATTTAATACATACGTAACCGGGTAAATGTTAAATTATAACGTATTAAAATATATAAATTGTTAATTTTAAAACAATTTAAAAATAAACGTTTTTTAAAACTAAATAATAATAATTTTCGTTAAAATATTATTACATTTTTACATTACGATTGTCGATTACTTGTATTATTACGGGGTATATTGCGAAAATTTCGGCCGCGATAAAGTTTAAAAATTATTTGTTTTTATAAATTTAAAAAAATTTTTAAAATTTTTTACCGTATAAAAACATAAAAAAGTTACCGTAAAAAAATTTTTTAATTAAAAATTAATTATTTAAAAGTTAACTTAATTTAAAACAACTTTATTTTTAATTAAATAATTTAATCGAAAATAACTTTATTTTTAATTAAATAAAAACTTTTATTTCGACCGTTTTTTAATTAATTTTAATTAATTTTAACCAATATAACGAAAAATTTTACCACAAAAAATTCGACCATATATTTATTAACAATTACGTTATAATATAAAAAAAACGGATTAAAAGTAAAAAAAAAAAAAGAAATTGTTAATGTTAAATTAATTAAATTGTATATAATTACGTTATACGAAAAAAAAAAGAAAAAAAAAAGTTATTAATGTTAAAATATTATTACGTAAAAATAATTACGTGGTAATACGTGATTATTTTTTACATAAAAAGTAATTTTTTTTAAATAATACTTATATATATAATTTATTATTTTTATAATAACAATTATTACGATAGTTTTATTTTATATTATGTTTTATTTTTTTATTTAATATATACCACCGCCCGTATTTTACATACCGACATGTTTAATTTTAATAAAATATATAAATTTATATTTAATAAAAGTAAAAGTAATTTTATTATTTTTATTTTAATTAAATATTTATTTAATATTATTTTTAAATTATGTTATGTTTTTATTAAAAGATTTTTTTATTTAAAAAATATATAAGTTATTAATATAATTAAAACGGTATTAAAAATTATTTAAAAATATATTAATTATATAAAATAAAATAAAAAATAAAAAAAGTTAAAAACTTTTATAAAAGTTTATATTATATGTTAAAAAAACTTATAATAACGTTTTTAAATTATATTTTAACCTAACGTTTAATTATAAAAAATAATATATATTTTATTATAAATAATAATTATTTTTATTATTTTAAACGTATAATAAAATGTTTATTAAAAATTAAATTAAAAATGTTTTATATATTTAAAATGGTTATAATTATTATTTTATAAATTTTAAAAATATATTTTATATTATGTATTAAATATGTTATAAAGTTTATTATAAAACGTTTTAAAAAAAACTTTTATTTATTATAAATTGATTATTTTATAAAAAAAAGTTATATGTTTTATTTTTTTTATAATAAATTTTTTTAAACTTTTATTTAAATATAATAAAAACGTTATTAAATATTATAATTTAATATTTATAAAAAGTTTTTTATTTATTTTCGATAATATTATTATTTTAATTATTTTAAAAGGTTTAAAATAATATTTAACTTTTAAATTAATTTAAAAAATAATTTATATATATTTTATAATATAATTTTATATTATTTTTAAAAGGTATATTAAAAGATTATTAATATTAAAAGTAATATTTTTAATGAAAATTATAATTATTTTTTTAAAAAGTATTAAAACTTTTAATAAATTTACATTTAAATTATTATTTAATATAAATCTTTTAAAAAAACTTTTTTAAAAAGTTTACATTTTATTATTAATTTTTTTTATTACCGTACCATTTATTAAAAATAAAAAGGTTTTTATTATTAAATTAAATTTATATTAATTTATTATTTTATATAATTTAACGTCGTTTTTAATATCTTTTATTTTATTTTTTTAATAATTACGTTTTATAAAACGTATTATTTTATATAATTTTTATTTTTTTACTATTAATAAAAAGCCATTTTTTAATTATATACGTTTTATTTTATTAAACGTTTTTTTACAGTTTTCGTTTTATTAAAATACGTTATAATTTTTACCGTTTAATAAATAACCGGTTATTATTAACGCATTAATAAATAAATTTATTAATGTTTATACGTTACGATTTATTTTTTTAACGTTAAGTTTTTTAAATAACGTTAAAAATAAAAAAGCTTTTTTTTTATTATTTTTAAAAAAGTTGGTAATTTATTGTTTAAAACCGTAATTTTATACCTTTTTAATTTAAAGGTTTATTTTATTAAAACGGTTAATTATAAAACCGCGTAGTTTATTTTTAAATATAAAACGTTTATTATTTCGTTTATTATAAAAAAAATATTTAAAAAAATAAAGTTTAAAATATGTTTTTTAATATATGTAAATATTTTTATTTTCGAGATTAATGTTAATTTATTGTTAATAGTTTATTTGGCAATATCCGCCCCCCGGTTATGGCTTTTAATTCCGGGTTTTTAATAAAAATATTTCGTATTAAAAATTTTTATTATTATATATTTTAATGGAAAAATATAAATAAATAATATTTCCGTTATTTTATTATTTAATTTATTTAACAGTTTATAAATATTAATTACGTTTAAGTTATTAACATTTAATTAAAATATATTTTTTATAATTTAAAATTAACTTTATTAAATTATATATATATATATTTTTTTTTTTTACATAAATAATTATTTAAAGTTTTATTAAAAAGTTATATTAATAATTAATTGGAATATAAGTATTATAGCCGGGATAATTATTAATAAAGCAACTATTATTAATATTTACTTAAGGTTTTTATATTAAAACTATATTTGCTTCGTTTTCCCATGCCAATTGCAAGAAAGCGGTATATGCCAACAATCTCTTCCTAACGTTTCCTTAGGCTATTTTGAGGAGTTTCTGCCGGCGTCGCCTGTGGGGCCGTCTATCTAATAAATAGTAGTAACATTGGCGAGTTACGAACAATGGGTGATTGTCTTATCAATCATCCACTACTTAAATAGTACGGTAGCTAGGTAGGTACTTACCATAGATATTCAATCATGGAGTCATTTGTGTATTCAGATCATAAGAAAGGGGGTGGGGAGGGTGAGAGCAAAAAAAAAAAAAAAAACATACAACACTGGGGATTCGCTGGTCGTCACCGACCCAACTACTAATCCAGCGATATCTGGCTTATCTAAGGGAGAGCGGACGGGATCCCGAGTTTTCCAGATTCTATGGTCGTATGTGCTTTTTTGTTGCTTTACTTTTGTATATATCACAACTGCCGATCAACTGACCGAGACGGTGAAGCCAGCCTGCAGTCGAAAACGTTATATACGTTAACACGCAAATCTCCCCCTTTAAGAGGGACTTTATACTGCTGCCTACGCTAAATATGTGGTACGTGGATATCATTATGCAAGTGACTCCTTAAATTTCCTATACACCGAATGGTATGATACCAAATATTATAGGAATTTCCAGCTCGGAATGCGGCTTCTTCGGGCCTCGGGTCCCTAGGCTTCCGATAGGCATCCACCGCGGGAGCTTCCGCACTCGGGAAACATGGCGATTGGGTACTGACGCGGAATCACCGACGTTGATAGATGGATCGGCTGTAGAAACTGTAGCGATATTGTTGAGTAAACAACTCGACGAGTAGCAATGAACCAGAAAGTGTTAAACCTATATATAAATCGTGATCGCTCTAGGTTTCGTCTTCTTGAAACCGCACAGGTTCTTGATATTCTAATTTCGTGTAAGAACGGTTTCGTTATCTAAATCACTCGTCATGTTGAAAACTTGTATCGGCGCCGCAGCCTTGGCCGGTAGGCTAGTAGCCGCATCTGAATTATCTTGGACTCCCCCTTCGCTTGTTCCCAAGGCTGCTGGCTACGAAGTAGCATCGAACAGTAGTGGAATTGCACCTGTAAGTAGTGACACCTACATGGCCTGATGGATAATGGTATAGTCGTCGGTTGCTTATACTCCCTAGTGCGATGCTCTGAAAGAAGTCGGTCTTGGGGATCGACTACTTTTCGCGACGGACGCAGATTACGAACCTCAGATACAGTCTTGGTATGCGGAGAACGCCCGTTTTAGGCCCGACTGTCTTGTTCTTCCCCATAACACCGAGGAGGTAGCAACAGCATTAACAGCACTAGTTAAGGTCAACAATGGCGGAGGTGATTGGCACATCGCCGTGCGCAGCGGTGGACACAGCTTTCCCGGAAGCAACAACATTGCCAACGGCGTGACTATCGACTTGACAATGATGAACTCATCGAGCTATGATCCGGAGACCAAACTCGCTAGGATCCAACCAGGAGGTCGATGGCGAAACACATATGCAGACTTGCAGAAAGCTGGGGTAGTTGTAACAGGGGGTCGGGACGGCGATGTTGGCGTGGGCGGTTTTCTCTTAGGAGGCGGCAATTCCTTCTTTTCGGGACGAATGGGATTCGGCTGTGATTCCGTCAAGAATTTCGAGGTTGTACTGGCTAATGGCACAGTTGTCAATGCCAATAGCACAGTAAATTCGGATCTATGGCGAGCCCTTAAAGGAGGTGGTAGCAACTACGGCATTGTCACGCGATTCGACATGGAAGCACTCCCGACGCGAGATTTGTACTACGAGACACGCGCCCTAAGCTTAAACTATACGGAATCTGTGATTGATGCGGTAGTTGGATATGCCAACCAAGACCAGTCCTTCGCCGACAACGCTCTTATAACTCTTTGGAGCCACAACGCGTCAAGCAGTCCCGAGACGCTTATCGAGACAATCTACGTCAATACGCTGGGGAATACTAACGCTACATCCGCATTTGACAAAGTTAGACGTCTTCCGACTTTGTTTAAGTCTACGGCTCTCAAAAACATGGCAGTGGCTGCTAATGGCTCCCAGCTTCCTGGTGGTTCTAAGTAAGTTTACCATCTTAAGCTCATCTGGAGCAGGTTATGAGTTGATTGACTAATCGAATCTAGGAATTCTGGAACGACATTGACTTTCCGCAACGATCCCCAGATACTTCGTCGCTGTGTTGAACTCCACGAGGATTTAGTTAAGAGGCTCAGCAGTCTGGTCGACCCTAAGAAGTTCACGTCATTGTTAATCTTGCAGCCCATTCCTTCTTATATGGGAACCATCGCCGAGCAACAAGGCGGTAACATGCTTGGGCTAGAAAATATCGGGGGCAACTCTATTTTGTTTAACGCCGGTGTTGCTGTTACCTCTGATGACAGAGACTTCGCGATAGCGAAGGCAGAGCTAGCCGTGCTAACGGCCCAAGTTAAAGAAGTTTCCAAGTCGGTGAATGGAGACCTAGACTTCATCTACTTAAACTATGCGGAATCAAACCAAGATCCTCTTGGAAGCTATGGCGCCAAGAATATCCAGCATATGCGGGATGTGGCCGCGAAATATGACCCTACTGAAGTATTCCAGAAGCGCATCCCTGGAGGTTTCAAGATTTCGAGGGTGGCATGATGCAATCTTAGAAATATGATGAGTTATCGGTGAACCCTTTTAGGAACCCCTATAAGGTGTGCATGAAAGCGGTGGCGGTGATAAGGGCGGATATGTTGAGCTCGCTAAGGTCTTCTTCGATTTATGTATTTGGTTATAATATAATTATCTTTGACTAATGTTGCATTGTCTCCTTTACATATGTTACATGTCATGTTAACCCCTTTTTTTACCCCTTTTTTTTTATAGATTTTGTGGCTACCCGTGTGGCTTAGATGCTTGTCTCTAAGTCCTGAGTCGTTATCACTTTGCTCAGCCTCGTATTATCTTGGAGGCAACCTGCTTTACTAAGCAAGATTGATATAAGTGGTCGGGGGCCTCGGGATCCGGTAAAGTCTAAAGTACCACATGGATGGAGCCGGGGTTTTGGAGAGCTAATCCAACATCCCTTTTTCGTTCTTTAAGAAAATGGACGAAATAGAAAATGGTGTTCCCTCAGAGCGGAGGCCTGCGGTAAGGATTCTTCATAGTTGATAATTGATAAATACTAATATTACGTAATATTCAGTGCGATAACTGCAAAGCCCGAAAGGTATGCCCAATATCAATACCCCCTTTACCTAACTTATACTAGGGACCTATCTAAGACACCTTATAACATAATACTAATTCTTTTAGTAGACGAAATGCGATAGAAGGTCGCCATGTGCGAGCTGTGTAACCCTCAACGTTATTTGCCGTACAACTCGTCGGGCAACTGAGAAACGGCAACGCGTTCTCCTATCATCGAAATATGATGAGGCCGTACAAGATGTCAGTCGTCAGCTTGGCGATGTCAAAGAAATGCTTCAGACGCTCCTGTTGAGCAGAAGCCCTGGGCCTAATTCAACCGCGACATCATCAGATAGTACCTCACACCATACCCCACCACCAATGATCGATGAACAGGTACCTACTCTGTCTGGTGTCAATGAAGGCTATAATGGTGATCCTTCGTTTTTGTCACACGCTCATCTAGTCGAAAATGCGTTAGGGGCTACCTTTGCAGTCTCCGAGTTCGTAAACGAAGAAGCTCTAGATACTTCCTCATTACTTTCCCCATTGCTCTCCCCGCGGAGGATTGCCGAGTTACTTCACGATGCAGATACGGGTAAAGGTGTTGTGTCAGATCAGACAACTCCTGAATCTCTTCCTCAGCCATATGGTCCGCCTCCCGGTAATATTCCACTTCCACCAATAGATCTTGTTCTTAAGCTTCTACGCATGAGCAAAATCTCCAAGCAACGATTCTTCGTCGACGTTCCTACATTCAAAGAGGATGAATTCATTGACCTGTGCCGCGGCGTCTACTTCGCAACTGAGCCAGTCTCAATTTGGAAATGGATATGTGTTAATGTCGGTCTCTACTACATCTTCCTAGGTGCTAAAGAAGCCGATTGTGAACACATAGGCACAACCGTGGAGGTGTTGCGTTTCCACACTAGGAAAATGAAAGCAAATGCCGAAACAGCGATGCAGAGTCTCCGTCTATGCTCGGAACCGTCGACGGAATCATGCCGCGCTTTAGTTCTTCTCGTAAGTGTTCTAGTGACTCAAGTGTGAAGATGATTCTGACAGGTAGTCAGGGGACCTTCTATGTCAAGGAAGGTCATAGCACGATTGCATGGAGATTGGTAAGTGCTGCTGCAAGGGCATGTTTAGACTTAGGCTTCCATCGTTTGCCTAACAGTCCGGAAAACGAGGAGGTGCTTCGGCAAAGCACCATTTTTTGGCATACATATTTATGGGATAAAGGATTAGCTATGACCTGTGGGAGGACACCTGTTATCCATCATTACGATGTAACAAACTGTTATCCGGTCAACTCGGACTATCTACGTATGATGCCGGGCCGGTTAGTTGCTCCAATGCTCAATATAATAACGGTGCTAACTCTGGTAGGATATACGCCGGTCTCCTTGACTATTCCATCGTTGCGGGGGAAATCCAGAGAAAGCTATTTTCTGCATCAGCACTACATTTTCCGCAGCAGAACCGTGTCCAGTATGCTAGAGAATTTGCTAGCAAACTTCTGAAAATCCAGGAGTCCGTTGCAGTCGTATGAATTCCACGTAGCTTACTTGTGGTCCATTACTAACGCGACTAGATACCTGAGGATGGCCCAATTTGGGACAAGGGGTTTTTCGCCGCCGCAGTCTTGCTTGATATTAAGATGTACTGCCTCCTTACTATCGTGTATAGAATACTTCCGCCTAGTTCTGTACAATCACACCCGCTACAATGCTCAGATGAATGTGTAGACGCTGCACGTACGGCACTATCCAAGGTCGTGGAAGCGGGTGAGTATATGCTACGACAAGACCCTTTTAGATGGTACATGTTTTTGAATGTGTAAGTTTACCCCCAAATATCGTTGTTCTGTGTTTAACATCGTAGTATAGGATCCTGTCCCTTGTACCATTTGTACCTTTTATCGTACTGGCTGGAAATGCCATATCTACGTCCTCTAGCGCCGACCTAGCTCTACTCTCCTCAGTCCTATCAGTTCTAGAACCACCAGCGGCGAATTCTCCGACTGCTCGGAAGGTTTATAATGCTTGCGAGAGATTAAATCGTATCGCTACCGCCCTAGTATCAAGTTCAAACGAGGGCTCATTACATCTCAAAGAGTACCAAGAACAAACTCCTAATGCCGGTTTGCCTTTCAATGGCCCAACCGATGAATCCGATATACATAGTCGTACGCTTCCGAATAACTTTGAATACGTGTTTCCGATGGCGCAGCAAGATTGGGACAGTGTTATGACCGGGTTTGAGTCAGAGTTGGAAGGCTACGACTCTAGAGCCCTGACAAACATTATGGAACCTTACATCGCAAATACGAGTTGGTAATCCAAGCGCTTTGTGGGGTGCCGTAAGCTTTCGAAGCTTAAATGAAAGATAAAAACGATAATCTAAAAAGCCACGCCGAGTCTTTGGGCGATTCTAGGGCTAGAACTGTTGCCAAGTAATATTGACTGAAGCTGGGGTAGACGCCCGGATACGGAGTTTTGGTCAACCTGCCGTAGGGCTTTTCATGAATTCAAGCATCTGGGAATTGGCAAAGTGCATGCAGCAAACAACGTAAGCATGTTACTACTAAAGAATGATGCAATATCAAATACATCTTACCGCGGTATTAGCTAACTAGTCGTGGCGGTGTATTAAACCCGACTTTTTTCTCTCTAATGTTCCTTAATTATGTATCAATCCTGAGTATCACGTCGTGTAACATAGCCAATCAAAAAGGGGTATATCTTTGAATGTTGATAAATCCCTTTGAATGATTTGTATACCTCCTATACAAGCATCCAGGAGTCTTTAGTAGTGCTGACAACGATAGATCTCACATCAAGTGCTAAGTCGCGAGTCTCGGGCTTCAAAGCGAGTCTCGCAAGTCCTAAATGCATTTCCGATGAGTATATTAGACGGCAAGTCCGTCGAATCCAACAAATGATGATATCTATGCTAAATGCCAGTTGTTAGGATAAATAACTACCTAAGCTACATCTCCTATTTAACATTTTAGATTAGTAAACGCAATTACAATCATGTCTGCACCACCAGTCCTCCTTTTCCTGGGCGCTGGGAAGAAACTCGGCACCCAAGTCCCTGCTATATTCGCTGAGGCAGGATACAAGATTGCCGTCGTAGCGCGGACGCCGAAGGAAGAGTTCGAGAAGCGCGGATATTACCAGGTCCAGGCCGACTTCAATAACCCCGAGAGTATCCCAGAGGTCTTCGCCAAGGTCCGCGAGAACGTCGGGATCCCGACAGTTGTTGTGTATAATGGTATGTTGATTCTATACTACGTCGAGAATCTAGTCTAATAAACGTATAATTATAGCTGTGCAATATACACTTGATGACCCAGAGGACCCTTTCGCCTCACTTGCGCCAGAGAATGTCTCGCGCTTTCATTCCGCTGTCGCTGTAAACGGCACTACTCCACTTATTGCAATTGAGCACGCAATCCAGGCCTTTAGATCTCTCCCCCCTGGCACACCCGGGAAGTCCTTCATTTTCACTGGGAATATACTCAACCACAGCCAATTTAAGAATCGCCTGTGCTTTGGAGTTGGAAAGACCGTGGCCGCCTACGGAGTCAGATACGCTTCAGTGGCTTATGCAAAGGAAGGTTTCAAGTGAGTTTTCTCAACTTTTATATGATTAACCTATCGCCATTGTAAACTTAATAGTTCGATACGAGTTTAGCTTTGGGCCAAATTAAAATATATTCCCTCTCTCAAGGTTCGATCTATACCTATTAACGAAACTTTACAGGTTCTACTATGCTGATGAACGCTCGGAGGGGGGACTTCCTGTGATGCGAGAGATTGATGGGCTCGTAGCTGGGAAAGAATATCTCAAAATCGCCGAGGCGCCAGAACAACTTCCCTGGCTGTATACATATACCATAGGAAGTGGATATAAGGACTTTGGAGAAAAGGACTACCTGAAGACTGTTGATAGCAACGAATCTCGGTTTTTAAAGGGGGGACGGTAAGTATCTAAAAGCTTAGGTAGATATGAGAAGCCTTCATGATACGTATTGAAAGTATAGACTTGAAAATTTAGCTTATAACCGTGCTAATAAACATGTTGGGGATAACTCATGACAAGAGAATTTTTCTCGTATTTTAACTTCAAAACTTACTCATATGCGCGTCGTAAACTGCCTTATACTCTTGATTTTAGACAAGTAGTACGTACGACTGATGTCAATGCGCGTCGTAATTTTCCTATAAATAAAGGGGTATGCCGCGTACAACTCCCATCCTGGATTTTACTCCTATTTACCAAATATTTGGAACCACCAAATTCATTACCAACTCACTGCCAATACTTCACTACCAATAACCCATTACGAATAATCAATCCACTACTTACCAACAAATAACTCATTGCGAATAATCTACCACGAACAATTCACTACAAACAATCCACTACGATAATTCATCAGACAATTCACTATCAATTATTCTCTACAATCCACTACATATAACTGCCTATAGACAATTAAATATCAGTTATTCACTATAAACAATCCACTACGAATAATTGCCCACAGACAATTCGCTATCAGTTATTCAATATTACCACAACTATTACTACGAATTATTCATCACCAACTATTCACTTCGAGTTGTTCGCTAAGAATAATTTACCGTCAATTATTCGCCACCATCTATTCATTTCAAGTTATTCACTGCGAATAACTTACCTTCAATTATCCACCGCCAGCTGTTGACTACGAGTTATCCCCAACGAATAATTTACCTTCACTTATTCGCCACCAAGGTTTACGAAGTGTAAGCTTCCCTACGCTCAGTTGAGAAATCGTCTTATATAGACACGCAGCTAATACATCCACAATAAAGTTAGCTAAACCTATATCGCTCTATCTGCGACAATTACGAACTATTCACCATCAATAATTCACCACTACCAGCACCACCACCACGTCAGCTACTACCAATAATCTACCACCGACACCAAGATGGCATCGAAATTCAACTCCCCATTTGGCTTGACAGCTATCCCAAGAGAACTAAGAGGTCTCATATATGATAACCTCGAAGACGAGGATCTCGCGCCTCTGGCACAGACTTGCCAGCAAATACGTAGTGAAGTCTTATCTCGCATGCCAGGAGGTCGCTTTATCGATTTCGATGGAGTTCATAACGACTCAGAACTCAGAAGCCAAATTCACGAAACCATCGAAATCAAGAACCTCGATCTTATCGCCGAACCATGGTACTCTTCTGGATCAGCACTAAAAATCGGAGTTACGTGGAAACCAAGGAACGAAGACTATATACGCTGGAGGACTTCATATTGGACCATCCGCGACCTATCGTCGCCAATGGCACGGTACATATACCTATATTGCCCCGATGCCATTTCAATCACACTTCAGGCAGCTACTAAGGGGTATTTTCTACTTGCCTTATTGATCCTACGGACAAAAATGTTCGACATATGCCGAATTCTGAAGACTGTCAAACGCGATTTATGCTTCACACCGAGTACTTTGAATATACGATTCTGCGGTGGAAGAGATCCGGATCGCCCCAACTCAGTTCGCAGGCCCTTCTGGGAGATGCGGCCACGATGCGTTTTCCCGAATTGGATAATTCGTCAGAATAAATGGAAAGACACGATCACCAAAAAGTCACATCAGGACAGAGAGGTTTATCCTTTCTTTTACGAGTGTTTAATGCTTCCTCTAATATCATATGGCGGGGAGGTCTCTGTGCACATCGAATTTGACTCGCCACCCGACCATCGACGAACTTCTTTTCGAGACTGGATATTTTATTCCCTCCACCACATGGCACGAACGAGGTATCTTGGCTTCGGGAAACTATTCGATTTCGCAGACTACTGTTATCATCTCCACTTGAAAGACATCGATTATTCTGGGAATGATTACACAGGAAGCTTTGAAAATGTCATGGAATGTCTGGAAGAATTCACGGAGGACACCGACGCCTTCTTGAAAAACGCTAGGTGTCAAGAGGCAGACCAGCTACGATCATATCTGAGAAGGATGAGGCAAGCACCGATTTGCAATCCTTTTGCTGGGCCACTGGAGGGAAATCCATTCGAGGAACAGGATGCGGTACAAATGAGATATGAGACATATATCTGGAGATGCTACGGGGAGGACAATGCTATGAGACAGAAGCTTATTGAATGGGCTATGGAAGAATAGGTTGCTTGACATGTTGCAGTCATATTTCGGCAGGTTATCATAGCGTTGTATTAGGATTGATGACGAAATGAGAATGGATGACACCACCACAATAAGAAGACTCATGACGTGATTTGTAGTTTGCTTTCCCGTATTGCCATATCCAAAGTTCCCAATTCCTTGCGCCATACTAGTGACAACACGAGCATCGATATCGTGGGCAAATTCCAATTCACACAGATCCCGGACCGACCCCCTCGAAAGTGTTAGTCACCTCTTAAAATTAACCCTACGCTATCAGGAGCAATAAGAAGAAAACATAATTGACGTTCTCTGTCGTTATCCCCCATCCTATAATCTAGCGTCTATCGTCTAATTGAATTGTTATGTTGTGTTTCTGTCCTTTTCTCCGGACATCCCTAACCCATTGTCATGAGGCGGAGCAAGAAGCAAGATCTTCAAAAGGATTCTCGCCTTTGCCTTTTACCTCAGACTTTAAAGGTTTCCACGACCCGCTCTAGAAAGTATTCATACTGGTGCGTCGAAATTTATTCAAATTCCATCCCAGCTTTGTCTTGGATCCTCTCGGAAATCTTTATAGCTAATACTTGAGGCATCAATAAATCCATAACCACCGCATGGTATAGGAAAGGCGTCTCTACAAATATACAAATGGCATACGTCGTCGCTGATGTTATTGGATGTACGTTCTCTACTTTCTTCAAGGTATAAATGAAGCAAATAATAGTATCAATAACTCCCACTCTCCCGGGCTTATGAATAGTTTTACTATTAACATCTAACTAGTCTTGGAATAAACTACGTTAAAGGTTTTGTCTAATTTTGAAATATATTGGCTTAACGCCGTTTGAGTTGAAATTATCTGATTTAAAAACATATTCTCTTCCCAGGAACGGGTGAAGGTCTGACCTAGTTCTAAAGTACCTATATGTATTATTAGACTTAACCCTTGATAGGAGAATAGGGGATGTATACTTACCACAAGTTTCTGGAGGAACTTTGCATGTATATTAAGAGAAGAAGAAAGTGCCCATCATATCTTATCATCATTTATATGATAGATCTTAATGTGCTATGTATACGGATGGTTACACACGTCACGAGTTATGGCTTTTGGGCGGCTGGATCTTAGGCCGTGACACAACTTGCAAATCGAGTGGCGTTTTTTTTTTCCTGCAGTTCTTCTGGATACGACATGCTAGATAATTACCGGTTAACCGGATGTAATCCACCACTGCTGGAAAGGGCAACATGAGGCTCCCAGCCCAATGTGTCGGTGGCGTTAGAAGCCTTAAGGAATGCATATCTTTTGTACAACGGATTCTCGCAGTTTATGCCTTGTTATTTCACCGCTTTAGTCATTATGTACCCGTGCAAGCCTCCTAGATGCCGCTTATATGTGATCTATCATTGTTTACGTCCGCCATAGTGCCCATCAAACGTTGGCTGAATGCAGCTAAGCCTTCGGCGCCAACAAAAGTTCTTCGGTGAACTTCCAAGGAGATACGGAGAGATGCCGGCACACGACATTATGTTAACTACAATAATAGCTATTCAGAACGAAACACTAAGAACATAATCTCTTATCGTCTTACTATACCAATTAATTCAAACAGGAAAATTATAAGCCCATCCGGGTAGAGCTCACCCGGCAGAAAGATAAGTGGATTCGAAGGAATAAAATGCATCGTACCGAAATGTACACGCGAGTACGAGTTGAGGTACGCCGAGGTACCTAGGCTTAATCCTCGGATCATATTGGCCGAATTCGATGCCGGTTTCGCAGCTAGCTCGACTCTCCACCCCTGCAAGCTGCGGATCTGATAACTTTGTCCCCCCTCCCACCCTACCGGGTCGAAGGTACGTATCGGTTCTTTGGCGGGGGCCGTTGACGTTGATCACCGCTCTTTTCGCTTCTTATCAGATCTAGTGGAAATGAAACATCGAAACCGACCGGACACCTAAACTAGACCCTACTAACCGAAGCTAGTAATCACGCATCTTTCAGAAAATATTTAGGTTGTCATTGACTTGGTAAGCATGGAAATATTAGGGACGAAGGGAATTAAAAGGTTAAATGTTAGTTTAAGTAGCTAACTACCTAATTTAACATAGTGACTTATAGTAATTAATTAGTATCTAAGGTATACCGTACAATGGGCACCTCAGTGTATGAAGTGCAACTTTTTAGATAGAAATGGATCATGTGTCTTCCTTGGCATTTGGTACGGAATAGAATGGATCCAATCGTGATTATCGTTCCAAGCAGACTGCTCGCTCGTTTAGCTTAACCCCCTAGCTCCCCAAGTTTACTAAATTATTCGGGCTGTCTGGGTACCTACATATGACAAGGGTTGGGCATGTTATTACTTTCTTCGAAGTTTAATTTCTTTACCTCGTCTATACTTTTTTCAAATGTCTGCTTCACTTATCAGCCTATTCTTCCAGACCCTGTTCCGTGTACCGACAAGCTAATATTGGCACTGACTGATCCTTGAATTTGCTCTCCTTTTTCATACTCCCTCACTCAATTTATAACGCAGCTAGCCGTCCGCGTGTGAGGTAGAAAGAAGAATCAAAATTTTTGATGTTGTGGCGTTCAACAATTGTCCATTGCTTTCAACACCTGAATACTAGATTCTCAACTCGGCCTTTTAAATACTCTTGTATTCTTTCATTCGCCGCAACCGCATCGACTCCAAAGTTGCACCCCACTGCAATTAATTATCCCACACCAATACTCGCAATGGCCTCTCATTTTGCAAGCGTCAGCGGCGCCCGCTCTAACGCCAACCCCTATAGAGTTTTGATTGCTGGTGGCTGCTACGGCGGCCTGGCTGTGGCCATCAATCTACTCGAAAAGTGCGACACTATCGAGTCTCCTATCCCAGTCGAGATCACCATTGTTGATGAGCGCGATGGCTTCTGTACGTGTAATATTTCCGCCTCCCTGCATCTCATGCATGCATCAATTACTCCAATTCTGTCCCCCCCTTCAATTGTGGTTAGATTATGGATCTCCAACTAACTCGTAGTCTCACAGACCATGTAATTGGTTCACCTCTAGCTTTGGCGTCGAATAGCTACGCTGAGAAGGCCTGGGTAAACTTCAAAAATATCCCCGTGCTACAGAGACCAGACGTACGGTTCGTTCACGGTACTGTTAGCAAGGTCGACTGTGAGAATAAGATAGCAACGATTGTTGAGCAACCAGACCAAGTATCGCGGGACGAGGTGTATGATTTCTTTGTTGCCTCCACTGGACTCCGACGTGTCTGGCCTGTAGTGCCGCAATCGGCGAGGAGAGAGGACTATCTCGAAGAGGCCCGTCGACACATCGATGCCGTAACTAACAGCACCGCACCGGTGCTCATTGTTGGTGGAGGTTAGTTCGCCTATTCCTTGCACGCCGAGTTTTGAAACCTCTTACTAACGTACAAATAGGTGCTGTGGGTATTGAGATGGCCGCTGAATTGAAAGAGGTTCAACCCAACGTCAAGGTTTCGCTGGCGCACTCCCGGGCTAAGCTACTGTCGGCCGAGCCGCTCCCTGATAATGTCAAGGACTGTGCTTTAGATCTGACAGAGCAAGCCGGCGTCGATGTGCTCTTGAACCACCGGTTGAAAAGTAAGACTCCTATTAAGAATGAGAACGGCACCGAGGTGTTCGAGGTTGAGTTCGAAAACGGCCACAAGATGATTGCGAGCCAAGTTATCATGGCCATCTCCCGCAGCGTACCGTCGACCACTTATCTCCCCGAGGATTCGCTCAGCGAGGACCGTTACGTCAACATCAAGCCAACTCTCCAGCTCTCATCGGATAAGGTCCCTAACGCCGAGTCTCACTTTGCCGTCGGTGATCTGATCCATTGGTCGGGTATAAAGCGCTGCGGCTCGGCCATGCACCAAGGCCGCTATGCGGGGTTAAACATTCACCAGCTCATGCTGCAGGACATACAAGGAAAGGAGCCCGTGTTCAATGAACTAGGTGAGGTTCCGCCCATGATCGGCCTCGCAGTCGGCAAGAACGCCCTTTCATACGGCGGTGATGGTATGAAGCACGGAAAGCAGGTGATGGAATGGTTCTTCGAGGAGGACCTAGGTTTCAGAAGTAAGTTAACCCACCATAGGCATATCCTATATTCAACGTCGAGTGCTTCATAAGCCGATAACTAACATTTTCTTCGTTTAGTCGTCTGGGATCACCTTCGTCTGGGTGGTATTAAGGCGTGAATAGACCAAAAACCTTTGCTCTGTGCTTTGCTTTGACCGGGGTATATTGGCGTCACTGGGGTTCTGGGATAAAATGATTTGACGATTTGAGGCACGATTTTCGCGGGTATCTTACGACCGCATCACATAAATTAGACAGTTCTTGTTAGTTGGTTATTAATATGAGTATAGTTCTCATTCCGTTAAAATGTATATAAGGTACGTATTTGGTATATCTGATGCATTTGTGATAATCTGAATGAATCTCCGTTAATAATAAATAGGAGGGGATAAAAAATGATAAGTCCACATCGACGCCCCCTAAAAACGATAAGCGTAATCAACTCGAGGCTTTTCTTTCCTCCCCCTCCTTCTTCCTTCCACGCAGCCACGACGCCATACCACGTGACATGATTTCTACCACAATTTAAATCTTTACAACTTGGGCAGCAATCCGACCAAAGTCCCACCAACAACCTTTTCACTTTCCCCAAGCGGCGCGAGCTGGAAGAAGCGCTCGCGGGAGCACCGCACGAATGCCGAACGCTTATGCGGTAAGTCGACGAACTTGTCGAGTCCGAAGCCGTGCATGAAATCGTACGCCAGGACTGAACTATTGGTATATTTCGGTTCACCCACCACGTACATCGTGCGCGGGTCGTCCAGGAATAAATAATGCATCAAGCTAGACCACCACGCCGTCACGCGGTGCGGACCACGGAATCGTATATCACCTACTAGCGAGTGTCGTCCTCGGTCGAAATCTCCCGCGCTGTAGTACGCGCCAAGTCGGTCTTCCTGTAGGTAGAGAAAATAGTTAGCGTTTGTGCATGTGGGCGCCGGTAGGTATGCGCTATGATCGTCAAGTCGCGCCATGCTTTGTCTTACGTACCTTAGCCCAGTACACTTCAAAGTAAGCAAAGAACGTGTCGTCGAAAGCAGCCAGCAACGTGATCTGGTGGGGATCGACGTGAGCGCGACGCAGGTACTCGCGATGCTGCTCAAGGGAACCTGTCTCATTCCACCCCTGCGAGACGCGCGGGTCGTTCTGCCAGTTGTGGAATAGCTCTAGGTGCTCCGGGTTCTCCCAGTCGAGCGCAACCATGCTGAAGTTCTCGCGTAGGTGAGGGATCCATCGACTGTATACCACGGAGCCCGGGCGCGGCTTCGCGGGTCGTCGCGGGTGCCACGCCGGAGTCCCACTAGCCTCGGATGTCATCGCATGTTGGAGTGGCGTTAGGGGATACGTGGAGAGTGGTTTCGGCAACGAATTGCCATTATCTTGGGGATCGTTGCCGGAGTCGGGGACCCAAACGCTGCGCGGTCCAAACGGCGAGCCGGCGCCTTGCCAGAATGTGCTGCGCAAGACAAGCAGCTCGTCGCTCAATCCAGCTGCTGTAGGGTGGTCGATGGCCAGTAGAACGGCCTTAAGCTGTGCCACGAGCGCTTCGCGGCCGGGTCCCTCGAGCGTGAGCCGGAGCCCTTCTGTCGACGGCCGTACCGTGAATAGCACGTAAATCACGAGCCAGGCCTGAGCTAACGTGGGGGGTGTCGCGACGTCCCACGCAATTGTTGAGCTCGGAGAGCGGCGGGCGCGACCCCATGGTGTGTTGTTCGATTCGGCCGGCCGCTCGCTTGACTTAAGGTCCGTGGGCTCGGTGAAGAAGAGCGTATCATTGTCAAGGCGTTCTGGTAACGGTTTCGTTTTTGCTTTTACCTCGCTAGGAGCATCTTCTTGGGGCTTCACTTGGAGCCAAGGAGTAGAGTCTGAGGGACGCGACGTCTTAACGAGAGTGTAGGATGTGAGGTATGGATGTGGGAGCTTGAGCACCGGCTCGTTCGTAGAGGGTGTCGCCATTGCTTAGGAAGATATGGGGTGTAACGTAATCTACAGGTGCGATTGGGTATCTATGGACATCAATTGGAGGCTTTTTTTCGATATTTCTTAGGAAGAGTACTTAATTACTCGAAGAAAAAAAATACTAGGAAGGAAATTTCTTATTCGCAGTAAGAATTCACGATTATTCTCCTTCCCGGACAAGCAGGCGTACCAGCAGAGCAAATGGAGTAAATTTACTAGTCTACCGAGTTATTCCGCCAGCACCCTTGTCAACCAGTGAATTGCTCTTCCTGTAAGTGAATCATTCCCATCTGCCAAGTACCCTGAAGTACAATACCTTGTTCGATAGTTCTCAATAGGTAGGTAGGTAGGTATCCTTAATTCCCACTTTCCATCTCCGTATAAGTGTACGGATTATAAGTCGTGGGCTACCATGCTCAAAACTTTTTTTTTACACACTAATGCAAGGGATCGCGCGGTCAACGTCAACGTGTCTCAAGTGTTAGCCAGCCCATGCTGACATGCTGCTATCCAGCCGAGAGATGATCTAACTGGGACTGCGGAGATTGGGAAGGTTGCGTACTGGGGGGGTGGCAGCGAACCGAGGCCATGGCTCTTGGCGGTCTGCAGAAGCGGATCAGATAACTTTAAGCGGATAGATTGGAAGACAAGAACCATGCTAGCTTTGGTAATGGCGTGTCACGGCTAACGGCGGATCAGATAAAAAATTTAGCTGGGAATTTAATAGCGCGTCCGAGAATTGTTGTGGGGCGGACACGGATCTGATAAATATTTCTCGGACCGATACCGGCCTCGAAAGGTACAGGTACTAGACCTGGGTACATTAGGTATCTTTAAGGGTACATGATATAGTGTCGTCATCAGTGCCTACCTGTGTATCTTTTCTTTATATATTTTAGCTCTTATCTTATTAACAAAATCCAGTCTGTTAATAGAATAGGTTAATAAATTATAATTAATTGTATGGTTTAACACCATAACTTGGAACTAGCTAACATCACTCTAGGAGTAGTTGATCCGTATTAACATTGTGGAATCCTTTAAGTTAACATGATAATTGGCATACGCATATGATCAACATAGCAAGTCCTCTCTACCTTAGCTTAGGTAGTTTAGCACGATTTCAGTCTTCCATAATACTGACTCGTATGTTAATGATCTATCTTATTGGAATTATTATTGTTTCGAATGCACATGTTCTCAGTTTCGTAGATTCGACAATCTCTCTTATACCTCCGTTTAAATTATCTCACCCATACTCAATAAGAGAAAACGTATCTGTGCATCCCTATCTCATACTTAAAGCTATACATGTATATAAGCCAAGTACCTATACAAATTCGACAAAAATAATAATAGAAAAGACACTATTATGCCTTTTACCAAGTCCTTAAACCTGATAATCTATCATGTAAATTCTTTAATTGTTAAAGTGTTTTATTATGGTGTTACATAGCAAGTTCTTTGAACCAACATAAGTCTTTATAAAACATACTGTTAGCAAGTGCACCGATTAGGTTAAATACCTATTTTATAAGGTAAAAACTTACATAGGTAGATATTTTACTATTTGGATTTTATTCTATTAATTTTTTCGATAACGATCAAAGATAAGAATACTACCCAACAGGAGTTGATGGGACATCTATTGTTGACAACTAGTTAGATAAGTTACGTGTAAGCGTAATTCTGTTAGGAACTGATACATTATTCACAGCATTAAGATGATCGCTTCCAGTATCATCTGCATACGGCCTCTATATGTACCGAGCCAGTAGTTTGCAACCTAAATGGATATTCTTGCCGCACAAAGTATGGGGAGCATTGGAAGGCTTTAAGGGCCTTGTCTCTGCATTAATAGTCGCGATCTGTGAGGAACCGTCTAATTGCTACATAATATACTATAGGTATTGAGACAACCGTAACTGAAGCTGGACGAAAATAGCTGACGACATTAGGGGGGGGTCCTTTCTGTAAGCTATGTTCTAAAGGTTAAGTTCTTTGGTATTAATGGTGATTTTTATTGTCATAAAATGTCTCCTCTTTACCATACACATTTCACCTTCATTATAGCTGCAATACTCTGATGGATGTCACTTACTCCTAAAATCACTGCTCAGTTATCAAGATTCTAGATAAGACGCCTAGAACAGAGGATACTTTCAGTATGCATAGGTAGGTATCTAGGTAGCTACTGGCTTCCATGGCTTAAGCTTAGGGTTACTAATAGAACAACAAAGTTGTTTCCACCCCTTATAGGTCCGCCTCGTGTTAGTTGTACTTACCAAAATTGATGGATACCTAAGGGAGTAAGCTATCTAGAGTTTGGAGGAAAATAAAACATTATTCATATGGCCAAAGGGAAGGTAAAGCCTCGAATATTAAAGTAATTACCAAAGCTTCCAAGGATATCGGCTTGAGTGCCAAGGTAATTTAGAATGATCGATATTGCAAAGCTACCTACCAATACCAAATCGAATCAAGATCCAACATTCCAAAATGAATATAGTTTTGGCTATTTATATCATATTAAGACCGATGTCCTTATCGTGATATCGCCATGTGTGCGGTATACGACTGCCTGCTAACTCAAATTCGACTAGTGACCTGCGACGACAACCTTGGTGATAGCGGTACCATAATTTATCTCATATCTTACCTATACAAGGCCTGCGCAACGTAAAATCCTCTGTAAACCATTAAATCTACAACCTCATGCAATATAACTTCTTTTGATTTATTATCATTATCATAGCTTCATACATTTCATGATGCCTGGCCCAGACTTGTCCCTCCCGCCCAAACCGCCGGTGCCTAACTTCAACTCTCCAGTTAGTTCAAGTGTTCCTCGGAAGCCTTTGACGGCATCCCAACCTCAGTACTCGACACCTTCAAGATCGGCAGTAAGTTTCGACTCTCGGAATCCTACGCGATACTTGGTCCCTGTGCCATTTCCTACTCCAGAAACTTATCGGCTGTCTCCATCCCCAAGCCTTTCGAATCAAACCCCTCTTAGCTTCACACCACTTCAAGGTCTCCCTTCGCCATCGGTACTTCCGTTAGGCGGGGTCACTGCCTTGCGTAACATAACCCCATCGCCTCAATTTCAGTCGCCTACAAATGGCGCTGTTGCCCAGCGACGACGTCAGAGAAAGCGCGACCCGAGGATGCTTCCTTCTGCACGCTCGCCATCTGATCGTTCGCCACGTCCACGTCCTACGGGGAAACCCCCTCCATGGAGAACCAATCGACGTAGGGCTTACGTGAATCCGAATCCGTTCCAAACCCCAGAGCAAACTCGTACGCCTCTAGAAAATATGTCCGAGTATCATAAATCACCCGATGAACCCATACGGTCAACAAATTTACAAGATCATGCGGATAGAATATCCCTTCTAAGAGCAGAAGACACCGAAGCCGTAAATGCTACACAGGTATATAACATACCCACCACTTTTCAATAAGTCCAACGGCAAACTGAACCGCAGTATTAACTTGAGCAGCAGCAGGAATCTTCCCGGAGCGGCACCGACCCCATCCGTCAATTATTTGACTTGTATCTAGACAATGGCGTGAACTACCTCAACGACGAGGAGCAGGAATTGCTATGCAGGTACATTGATCCCGGGAAGGAAGACCAGCGAGACCTGGTGTACCGCGTGACAGAGCAGATCCTCTGGTATAACCGCAAACCTTCACTCACGTATAGACTCGCAAATTGGATCTATACCCGAGACAGTAACCACGAAGTCATTTTTAGGTTGCTTTGCGAACGCTTAAACCTGCCAGACCCCGAAGAGGGAAAAGCGATGATGTCTCTAGAAGAAGTCAACGAGCTCATGGACTGTCAGATTGCCGTTGATGCTTATAAAAAATGGCGGGAGGAAGAAAAGAATCCGGAAGAACAAAAGGGCGGGAAAGAACACGAGTTTCGTCTTGACTTCCTTCGTCGCTGAGGATTATGGCGTGGTAGAAGATACTCTCTATCACCGCCGGTCCGCTATCAGTAGGGGTACGATCCCATTCAAACAAAGAACCAAGGATGCTCATTACGTAGGGAAGTTCGTACATTATAGCTAAAACACAATACTGAGGAATCATGGTGGAGAAAGAACGGTAGCCTTCGAAACTTAGCCAACCAAATGATGAGGAATGAATAAAGAATGATTCACGACGAGGATGGATGGCAACACGAGTTTGTTCGTGCTTTACCGATAATATTACACCGATTCTCCTTCGCAGATGGCAAAGACCTGCCATCGTGGCAGAGGGCTCGCAAATCGGTAACAAGGTTACCTAGATTTGAGGGTCTCTAGCCTAAGACAGTCATAGATCGAGTATTACCTCAGTAAATTAGCATCCATATTAATACTACAAGTAATGATATAGCAAGTCAACTTTTATATTTAGTATTGTGTGCTGATGTTGCTTTTTACTAACCCTAACACATCCTAACTATAGAGCCAGTAGAAGAGAGAAGAGCAGCGAAAGTTTACTCCCTGCCAAGAGGCTTTGGCTCCGGCACGTAATCCATAGTACCACCAACGCTCAACATCCACAGTTGGCCAGGAGTTTCAGGTACTTCGGCTCCGTAGAGGAAGTTGTTAGGGAATCCCACATCAAATGGAATCGCAGCCTCAATCTCCTTAATATCCTCCGTAGACAGTTTAATATTCAGGGCATCGATGTTTCCCTTCAGGTGGTCGATAGTACGGCAACCAACGATGGGAAATACGTAGGGCGTCTTGCTGAAAACATAGGCCTGAGCAATACTTGTGATGAGAGTGTTCTTTCGCTTGGCAACCGCTTCAAGCACCTTGCTGACTTTGATGTCATCCTCGGTAGCTTGGACTTTGCGGCCGGCGTCACTTTTGCGTTGCTCCTCGGTCTTGAACTTCCCGCTCCCTAGAGCTCCCCAGGGAGCAATACCCATACCCTCGGAACGGCACATGGGAATGATCTCGCGCTCGAAATCCCGCTGTGCCGCACTCCATTTACCCTGGTACACGCTGAACTGCCGGAGGCCGTTTTGGCGGGCATACTCGTTGGCTTTGCTAACAACCCAAGCGGGCGTGTCGCTCACGGCTAGGTGAAGCACTTTGCCGGCTGCGACGAGATGGTTGAGCGATTGCATCACCTCGGGGATACTGGTAGAAAAGTCCCACCAATGTACGTAAAGCTAAAAATTTCATGTTAATTATGCAGAGCAGGAAATCAGGGTGAGTAGCGGCGGACTAACCAAATCGATATAGCTGGTCTGTAGTTTTTCCAAGCTGGCATGGACCGAAACGTGCAGGCTCTTAGAACCATTGCCAGTGAAATTGATCATAATCTCCCCCTTACCACGCGGCCCGGCGTGGAAGTTAATCGAATACTTGGTTGCGATGACCATTTGGTCTCGGTTACCACGTTTCTTCATCCATGCCCCAATGCGTTTCTCTGACTCCTCGAACTGGTAGTTATTTGACGTATCGATGAAGTTGCCCCCCTGATTATAGTAATAATCGAGGATGTCTTCGGTGGTTTTCTCGTCACATTCACCCACTAAGAATTACGGTGTTAATAAATATTACTCCCGTGAAACATGTGAATAGAAGAGTCTTGATCGTTACAATAAGGTGAGTGTTATCACTTACTAAAATCCTTCCAAGCATTCCCGAAGTTCATAGCACCCAGACATAGGGGGCTGACCCGGATCGATGCCGTAGGGGAAAGCAAGCGGTAGCGAGCTAGAGGGGATTGGGGTGCTGGTGCTGTTGGTAGTGCTATGTGTGCAGACATTTTCTATGATTTATAACGCCAGTTGATGGTTGTACGGGTATTAATAGGGGGTGTCTGTGCTCTGAACAATTCATTATGGATGTGGTAACTACCTAAGTAATCACCCACGTAGGAACAGCCAGGAGAGGTTGCTATCTTATAAAGAGAATTGAAATGAAGCTTATTAATCCAAAAGCCGATATTTTCTTCGGTGATGTACGCCAATGTCACATAACACGAGGGGTCGGGGTAGAATATGCAAGGTCTAGATCTAGACGCAAGGATACTATACCTAGGTACATAACTCACCTCACGCTTGGATCTACATACGTATGATATTTCTGTAATGACTGTTTGATAAGAATTCATTCGCTGACCTTGAATTATACTTCGTATAGTACCCATGTCCCTGGTGCTAAGTCCGGTCAAAATCCGCAGCTTACCAAGACGATGATTGATAATACTGATGTTCTTTTGCTGATCATTAAAATTACGGATTTAACATGTACTTTTCATAATCCCAACGTAGCAGAATTATACATATCTGCCGGACAGTATTCCCTCCGATTTTATGTGTTGGGTCCGGACTTATGCTAGTCTCCGGAGTGGAATACAGGTTACGCTTCTGACTGCAGGGTGTATATCTGAAGTTTGGTACGTTGCTGCCAGCCGCCACGAGGTTGTCCATAGCTTCGGTTCTAATAAATACATGGATATGTTTCTTTCAAAGTTCTACTTATGTACGTCGGTACCCACAAACTAAATAGAGTCAGCTAGAAGTTGTTGGTTGGCCTCCTTTTACCTAACACCGACAAGAACATCGGTGATAGATCAACATGACAAACGAAAGAAATAGAATAGTTAACTAATAGTAGCAATTTCTCACTACGGCAGGGGCTCTCTATGCTTTTGGTATTATTGATAGATAGCTGAGCCATTTTAGAACCTATCTCATGCCTTCTCTTATAAATATAGCTACCAGAAGTTTCGCTCTAGGATCACTAAGGTAACTAGAGCAGAGGGGTTTGAGGATAAGGATATTAGTAATACAGTTTTATATAGGTAGATCTATCCATTGTTATTCTTATAAAAACAGTGTTAATATCTTATATCTCGCTCGGATCATAAGCATAACCATGTTCTCGATGCCCATATCTCTCGAAAAAAAGAAAAGTTCAGTGTAAGCCACTATAGCTTCCTTATCAAGCGTCCTTTTTTTATCCATCAGACAATAATATCATCACTGGCATCATATAGATAGGTAGGTAAGTTGCTCGTGCTATGGAGTCTTGGGTGGGAGCACGGTTCCATCCACTTAAAGTAATCAACCATATATAGTTACATCCGCTTTATCTGCTATAACAACATTAATAATACATACGGAAATCCCCTCTTGCTGGACGACATGCATCTCATTGAGTCATAGGCACTATATATCGGACTTAGGTGATTGGAATCCTGTATACCCGTATTACAGGAAAACGCATCCATAAATCTACATTCAAGTTCAACTAATTTAGCCTTTAAAATCTATTTATCTATTCTCTAATTTTCAAAGAGTGATGCTATTTGTAGATTACCGTGCCGGTCCTACAACGTAGATTACCCCACAAAACAGGTACATACAAATATTGACTAAAATTATTATAAATTAACATCAACAATTCTACCTTACTGCACTTACAAAAGTTCAATATTTTTCAATAATAACAATAGATATTTACAAATCTTTTGACATATTTGAATTGCTTACATTTAAACTAATTGATTGATACTAAATTTGAAAAAATGCGACCGTGTTTCATAGTACAATTGAAAAAGTAATCTACGAATAAAAGGTACTAATCTGCGAATAGTGGCATATAATCTACGGATAAGGCCAACTAATCTTATATTTCTCGGCCACAGCAACATATTTAACAATAGTTACTTATATCAATTAAATCAGCTTAATAATGCCAATCTAATAATGTTACAATTGTGTAATAATACTGTATTTTAGTGAAGATATTAAGGAGTGACAAAAAATAGGTAATAGTTTGGCCTAGCAGGCCTGGCAGGCCTGGCGGACCTGGTCAGGTGACCTACCTTGTAAGGAACGTTCCCACGATTTTAATACATACATTGATACATCAATTAGATCAATTAAATCAATTAGATCAATTAGATCAATTAGATTAATAAGAATATTGTCAATATAAAATTAGCATACATCGGCCGCATTCTGAGAAGGTTACGAAACAGAATGGGGCCATGTCATTTTACTAATAATTTTGGTTGCCAGTTACTTACACCTGTTCTGTGGGGTAATCTACGTGGAAGGGCTGTCATGGTAATCTACAAATAGCATCACTCTTTTCAAAATGTCTTCTCCAGTTTGGCTTATCACAGGCGCCTCAAATGGCCTAGGCCTCTCGTTCAGCCTTCGTGCCCTGAAGGCTGGTCACAAGGTCATCGGTGCGATGCGCAACCCAACACGGGCTGCTGCTGCCGTCGAGGCCATCGAGAGTAGAGGAGGGAAGGTAGTGCAAATAGACATGACGGAGTCTCAAATTAGCATCCACGAGAAAGTGAAGGCAGCTGAGAAGATTTATGGTAAAATCGACATTCTAGTAAATAACGCCGGGTACTCGCTCCTGGGACCACTATCGGAATTTACGTACGTCTTCTACCATTAATGGTCTTGGATATGCTACGCATTGTGCTTACCAACCATTCTTAGCGAGAAAGAAGTCAATACTCAAATGCAGACGAACTTCTACGGTCCAATCTATGCTATCCAGGTCAGTCCTTACGACGATACCATTCTATAGTCGGCTCAGTCTTGTATTAATGACGTTCCAATCGTCCCAAGCCTTAGATATATATTTCTGCAAAAGGGGGGTAAGCAGAAGAAAATAATCACTAACTCTGTGTAAAGGCCGTTCTTCCCGGGATGAGAGACAGTAAATCCGGGACCATCGTCAATATTAGTAGCATAGCTGGCCAAGATGGTCTTCCAACATGCTCACTATATGCCGGTAGCAAGTTCGCTCTCGAAGGGCTTAGCGAGTCTCTAGCGCGCGAGGTTGCAGAATGGGGTATCGATGTGCTAATAGTAGAGCCTGGCGCATTCCGGACAAACTTCCTGAAAGCCTTAGTCGCGAACGAAAAGGGCCTTCCCGAGCATGAAAAAGATACCCCTGTTGGAAAGACCATGCAGCGTTTTCACGAGGTTGCGGAAACTCAGAGGGGAGACCCAGATAAGTTGGCTGACCGCGTCTTTGAGGTAGTGACGGGTGAAGGAGAAGCAGGTGCGCTGAAGGGAAAGATCCTAAGGTTGCCGTTAGGGAAGGACTGTTTGGCACGATTCGACGCCAAGATTGCAAAGTTAAAGAGCGACGTGGAAGCATCTCGGGCAGTAGCTGAGACTACGGATTTATAAGGTTTGGGGTAATTGCATGAAACCTGGATGTACCTACCTAAGGTAGCTATCGAAGCTACCTTGGAGCCTATTTCAACATTGTTTCTTTCCTATATCATGTAAATCTATTAGCAGCACTTGCCGCAATAGTTAAACCTTACAGGTGGTTCCTAACTCTATAGATACCTCCTGACCGCATTCCAGTTAGATCTTGCCATAGTTATGAGGTTGGTTCTAAACTCTATCTGCATGGGTTGTTTGTTTTGTCTCGGCACGTCTCGACTTTACTTTTTCTTCCTCTTCTCATCAACTTCCATCCTGTCAGGATTCTAGATGAGACATTTATTTCAAATGATATTTTCAGTATGTATAGCCATAGGCTCCCATGGCCAGCTCAGAGTTCCTCGCGGAACAACAAAGGTATTTCCACGCTTCTTGCTCCACCCCATTATACTGTTTTCCCGCTGAGTCGAAAGCAGGACACACATCCCCCACGCTGTCACTGGAAAGAGAATTGCAGGAGGGGGATTTAGGGTCCCCTACTGCTGCCTCTAGCCAGAGGACAGCAAATATTGCAAGCCATAACCCAACTCGTTAGGAGCCGCCGGCATTGGACACTTCGGGACGAACACGACTCCCAGAGGGGGAAGTCGAAGAAGAAGGTCCAAAGTCACGACCTAAGCAACTTCGCCTATTTCCAGAGTCTTCCAAGCTCTGCACAAACAATCCTTTTCGACTCCGGTTGCTATTTACCTTCCACCGACGACCAGCATGCTACCGTAGTTCCTACTAAAAGAGCCCGCTCCAATTCGGACTCTTTCCGAGAAGACTTGCGCCAAAACCTCGACGACAACCATCAGTAGTACTGCGGAGGTTCAACGTGGCCGGAGCCAATTGGTAACAGCTGGAGGAAAAAAGAGGGCATACATTGATCAATTTGTCAAGCTTATCAATTCATGCCTCAGTTGGAATGACAAACTCTTGGAAGCTTCTAATGGAGATGAGAAAGGTGGGAGCTTTGGGGAAGCAGATAAGGAGGGCGGGCAAGGGGTAGGAGGGCTACACTATCGTTAATGTTTTGGTTATACAACAGCGTTTTGAAGTTTCGGTTACTCAATAGCTGTCGCAGATCTAGCCTTATAGACTTAACTCATGTATTATATAGGTGATCTCTCAACTGTATGTAGCGAAACACGGGCTCAGATCTTAATCAATACTGTTACACGCACTTAAATCTTTGGCATCCACATATAACTGCTCGTATCCTGTACCTCAAAATAGAGGTTTGGAGTTCATTATTATTCACATTCATTAATTAGGTATTCACCTTGAAGTTGCTTTGCATATATTCGCAGCCCCTTTCTACCAGCTTTCCCAATTAGTAAGCACGTTCTCTTTTCGCCCAGCCCGGGCTATCCACGAGCTCGACCTTCTCCCTTCCTGTCCACACTGGCGTTCCAGCCACAAGCTCGAGTCCAGGGATCTTCGCACCACCTTGTTCGAGAGCCCATAGCGAAATACCGACATAGTTCGTGCCGTTATAATTCAGGATTCCTTCCGGTACGGGGAATACCGTTTGAGGACCGACGTTGCTGCTTAGCTTGCCGTATTGCCAACCGTTAACGTACAGTTGAGCCCGATAGATGCCGGACGCGGAAGTGTCGTTGGAAAACGAGAATGCTAGTGGGATGTCCCATTCGTCGGAAGGCAAGTTAAGGTCGAAGGAGGTCGCGTAGAAGGCAATACCCGGCAAGCCGATACCTTCTAGCGGGGAGTGGGATACCCATGATTCTGTCGGCGCGCCTGGGAGATGGTATCCTTGGCGCTCGACGAACAAGCCACCTTCATTTAGTGGACCGCGCACGCGGTCTAGGTAGTCTTCACCACCAAGATTTCCCGTTAGCTTCCAGCTGATGGGTGTGTTAGTCGCCTTGGACGTCTCCAACCTCCACCCCAAGATTCCACGAGGCTGCTTCATTTCGTCGGCAACGATCCAGTTCTCGCTTAGGCCCATATTCTCTACGACGACGGTAAAAACGTGCTCCGTCCCGGCTTCAAGCCCAGCACCGGTGACGTCATATTTGCCTTGATAGCTTGCGTTTGCTGGATTTCCGCCAAAAGACGAGAGAAGGTGGTCGTCAAGCCATACTGATACAGCAAAACCGCTCCCTCCCTGGGTCCACAGGGAGAAGTTCCCTTCATTACCCGTGGCGTTGAAATGACCCCGGTACAGAAGCACTCCAGTATGGAATCCGTAATCGGAAGAGTAGGTCGAAACAGGGGCGAATAGGGGTTGGTAAGTGTTATCCGTAAACTTATGGTCCGCCTTCGTCCATAGCGAATCGTCGTATCCCTCCTGGATCTCTGGGAGCGAGTCGATGTACTTCCATTCGAGATCTGCCAGATCCGGGACGGTAAATGAAGGGCTGTTTACGGAAACGTTGGCGGTCACGGAAAAGTCTGATGACTCCGTCGAAGTTTCTACGTCATTAACGAAAAGCCTTGTCCCTGAGGTTCCCACAATTTCAACCGTCGTGGACGTGTTGAAGTCGGCTTTGATGTGTAGCTCATTGTTCTCTAGGGAGGCAGAACGCACGAGGTAGGGTCCATTGATGACCACCTTATCGCTTGTGTCCTCAATATCAGTAAGCCAATAGTTATATGCCGCGTTGCGATCTGAAGATTAGGTAGTTGGTTAGCATTGGAAATTAGTTGCGGGAGGGTAGACTAACTGAGTAGATAAACCAAGAGGTTGTCACCGATATGAAGGACGGATCGCTCCTTAGGGGTCGCCCAATCCACAGTCAAAAAGCTAGAGTTGCTACTCGTTACGCTGTATGATTGGTCACCTTCGATCTTGTTAACTTGACTATTCGATGGCGCTTCAATTGCGAATTCATTGTGCTCGTTAGGTCCAGCATAAAGGATAAGAACCGTCTGGTTTCCTTGCTTCAGATGCGTAAAAACATCGGCAGTGGAGTAAAGCAGTCGAGTGCCTTGAACATCGTAGTCGGTAACTATTATTTTTGAGTCTCGGCCGTTGAGACTGAGGGATTGGTTTGTCCGAGGAATCGTAAGTGTCCCTTGGGACGTCGGTAGTTTGACCTTGTACTGTGTCGATTCAAAACTCGAGTAGTTGGTATGTCTCACCACGAAGAACGAAGCATCATCTGTGCTGTTTGCTAGTATCGGCGTAACAGTGATGTCAGGGTTATCGCTGTAGACGTTATTCGAACTACTACCCGGTGTTGCCGTAAGATAGCCGGGGCTAGACTGTAGGAACGTCGCCTGTAACTTTAGTTCCGAGTACTTCTCCCGTGTAATGGTTCGGTCCTCCTTGATGACACTTCCGTAGTCGTACGAAGTGTATCCGCCAGGGTGTCCGAGGTTACCCCAATTAGTCCCACCGAAGATCATGTAGAGATTATTTATCGTCACGCCCTGTATATGTTAGCAATGCCGTACACTTGACATGGTCATATGACTCGAGGTTCTTCGTGCTTACCGCAGCATAGTTATTCTTGTAGAAGACTCTCTGGAACTCGTGATTCACAAGCGCACTGCACTATATAACTGTTAGTCGCGTGTTTGAAAATAGGAGTTTAACCAATTATTATACTCCTAAAGTAAGGAGCTAAGTTCGTTCGTTGGTGATGGTGTTTGAGAACCTACCTGCTCAAAACCCCAACCTCCCCAAGGATCAAATGAGCCGGCTTGAAATTCAACCTACACTGATATTAGCAAATGCAAACCAAAGAATACCCATGACGGTTCAATAAAGAGTGTCAGGGATAATAGCAAGGTATCTTATTATACATACTATGGAGTAAGGCGTCGTTGGACTCTGCTCTAGATGGTCGCTTCGATAGTTCGTGGGTAAATTTCCTTTAGGCCAAACCGTGGGATGTGCGCAGTCAAATCCCAAGGGATAACCATCGTGCCCATAGATGTCAACTTCACCTTCGCCGGTTCCCGGAGCGTTGTGGCCGAGGGGGCTGGCATCATTGTTGATAAAAGGAACAACTATCCCAGCATCCCGCGCCTGTTGAAGAACGTATTCCATATATGACCCGTCTGGGAAAGGGGTATAATCGCCAGCTCCCGAATACTCGTTCTCGGGTTGGAATAGAATTACCGGACCGCCATTTGTAATTTGAGCATCTGCAATTATCTTGCCGATATTTGACATGTAGTTATCCGTCGCATTAAGGAAGTCTGGTGCGGCACTCCTCAAAAGACCGCGAACCCGTTGTATCCAACCTGGAAACCCACCGCCGCTGACCTCGGCATTGATGTAAGGGCCAGGCCTAGCAATGAGATAAATCCCGACCTTTTGAGCGGCATCAAAGAACGGCTTCAAGTCAAAGACACCCTCCGCAGAGAAATCCCCGGGCTTCCCTTCCAAGAGAGCCCAGTCGATGTAGAACGAGATGCAATTGAAACCAAGCGCTTTAACTTTCTGTAAGACGTCGATCCACAAAGATGGCACTGGGAGTCTGAACGGATGGAACTCCCCACTGAAGATCAACACCCTCTCGCCATGGACAAAGAGCGAGTGCTCATCCCAAGTGACGATGTCTTGCGCGGCTTGTTGTTTCTCGGTAAAATCCCGTATTAACGTATCAGGACGCCCGCCGCTGCTAAGAGCATAGCTCAGCAGAGCTTGCGTTGCGACCAGAAACAGTGACGACCTCATTGCCAGTCCAATACCTCGCGCAGTCCCAAAGGAAATTTGGCAAGTGGGAGTAGGGCAATGGGATATTTCTATTAAAGATTAAATAATCCAACTAACTAGTTAGTCTATTTATGCAGTTTAAGTTACATTGCGGACGATGCGCCTAGGCTGATCTCGCCCGATATACACAAAGAAACCCCTAGGTTAGACCTTATGATGTAGGCCATGCTGCTATGTTGGGGTACGTGGGGTAAGATCAGCGCACGTTGCCGAAGATGGGGATCGCAAACTTCCATTTCCGGTGGACGAGCGAGAAAACAAGTAAGTTTGCTCACGGGCTAAAGAGGTGAGCGGCACAGCACAGCACACAAGAGCAAACCCGTAAGAGGGCCATCGGTGAGGAGGCTCGTACGGTGTATGTAAAGTACGGTAGCATCTCCACAATGAGAGAGTAACCCCCAACGTCGTAATGGCGAACGGAATAAATCCAACAGGTCCGCGAGTACGGCCACTATTAT